ACTAAGCTATGCCCCCTGCTAATGCATGACACAACCTCTCACACCCACCAATACCCAAACCATATCCCTGTCTGCCTCTATTTTCCTTTCCACTATTTTATCAAGGAGTGATATTAATCACCTATTGTGAGTAACGATGTTACCTCACGCTACCGAGATCCTCGAAAGACAAGCACCACTGGACTTCTATACTAGTAGGACTCTATAGGTAGATATATTTATGCATGTAATTTCCATAAAATGCTCCAACATAAATGCACATCATATATATCCAAAGTTGATCATTCAAAATAAGGGTTATGCACTGTGGCTTGCCTTTAGCAAAAGGTGTGTCAACAAAGTCAAATAATCTCATGCCTCTATGGCTCCCTCCTAAACAAGAATCTCCTCCTCAGACTCTTCAATGATCTCTCGAAGTCCCGTCAATCCACAAGCACGAACTCTACCAACTCGTTATCTACATGCATAAAATGATGATGCAACATTTAGTAATATGGCAACAAGTGAACTCTTAAAATACTTAACACAACTATCAAGTCACTAAGCTAGTTCTCACCGATCGAGGTGCTAAATTACCTATTGTTACCACTAACAAGTATGAAACATGGCATGCACTATCTTAGCAACTAAAGGCATTCTTACTCTTAATATCGATTTACTATATGTATACTAAAACAAGGAGTACTAGCTACTCTATTTATCAACCTACTCAAGGGCTACAAAATTACAATGAAAGCACATAATAATCTAATGAACTCATCAGAAAAGTTCATGGCTAAAGCTATCACCAATTTGTCACAAAAATTCCTACAAATATTAAGCTAAATAATACTAAGCTCTCCTAAATGCATTAATGAATTTATCGTTATCACATATAACTGTAGAAATAACTACATACCAATGTACTAGATAGCATTTTTGTGAACCTAACAAATTTTGTTTCACTATTTTTTGACATCTACTGAATTTACTATAATTTTTCAAAGTTTAGCTCAAACCTAAATTGAATAAACTTTTACTAATTCAATTAAAAAATAAAAATCGAATCCATCACGCTACCACGCGAGCGAGCGGGCGTACTCTACTTTCACATCGCACGGCGCCAAGACGCCGCCACCACAGCACAGGCCCACGCGACGAGGCCCAACGGCACGATTTGAGCCCAGCTGACGGGAAGGCTCACGCTGTGTTTCTAAGACATTTGCTAAAACGTCCTCTCTCTAATACCGAATCCAACCATGTCCATAGCACTATTCCTTCAAGAGATTATCTTACAACGCCGCCTCCCCTTTCCTTCTTTACTATGACCATACCGAGCACCCGCACCCGAAGACGCTGGCACATGCGGCTACTGGCGCACGCCGCGCCGCTGCCGTCAAATTTCTCTCCGCCTCTAATAGCCAGCCGATGATGCTCACCTAGACGCAAACTCAAAGCGATGGGCTACGGTTATGAACGGAGACGTCGTTCCGAAGCTCCTCTACAGGGCGACCTCTCACGGCCGGCGCATGGCCACGCTCCCTGTGAGCTACAAGGCATGACGACGGAGCGAATCTTAAGAATGGGTATTAACGACTCACCGAACCTACTGCAGACGTGGTGCTTGGACCTGGGGACTTGACTCAGAAGGGCGCCCGACCATCGCCACAGATGGCGAAGCTCGCACGATTTCGAAGATTTGGAATGCGATCGAGCCAACAGCGGAAGGCAAGTGGTGGTGGAAATTAAAAGCGCGTACGAGATGGAGGGGCGAACAGGCGAAGACATGCACCAAATAATTGAACGGAGGTGGACGGTGCGAGGTGAATTGAACTGAACGCTGTAGAGGTCTTAAGATGGCCGACCATGAGGGAAGCTTCAAATGGGCCTTGGCATGGTACGCCTGCCAGTAACAAAGGGATGGCCGAGCTCGACGCCAGTAGCTAGGATCCCACTCAACCATCAGCGCGCACTCAATTGCATGGATTTGACCGCATCGCGAAGTGACCTTGGCGTGGCTTTCGACGACTCGGCGGCACGCCATGAAAGGAGGAGGTGACCGGGAGGCGGCGGCGGCATTTTGCCACTCAATAGACGAGGACAAGGTCACAAATAGGAGCTACACGCGCAGGCGTATGGAGTCGACACGGTTCGCAGACGGCCATAACGCCTTAATTTGCAAGCCGACGGCGACATCGGCCATGTGCTTGTGTCCCAGCCGCGCCAGAAGCAGCAGCAATGATAGCGATGGCGTACGCAACGCAGCGGTGCACACGGCGTGACAACGCGACGCAGAGGAAACATGCGCGTCGCCGAGACTTTGCGCGTCTGCGATGCCACGCACCGGAAGCGACGGCCATTTGGATCAAGAAGCGCAGATCGGCAACAGAAGCGCGACGTGGCGGCTCTAGGGAACCAACAACATGATGACAAAGATGCATCGTGGCGGTGAGAGTGGGCCCGCCGCCACCAGTAAATCGCTGCCACCGTAGCTACCGAAAGGTAATCCAGACATCGCCACACAGCGCAGCGCCGACGCCACCGACGATGGCACCAGAGCGCTGCGGTGACGTCGAGCAGCGACCTCGGTCGAAAACGTGCGTGCCATGCGTAATTTAAAGCGTCCCAAAATCAAACTCAAGCATTTTAGGCGCCAAACCACCTTTTCTATCCTCAAGAAGGTATGTTAAACCATCAAAACAAGCCCTAATACCTCACAATTACTTAATCCAAATCTCCTACAAAATTGCCAAACTTGACTCGTCGAACCAATTTCCGACTTAAGAAATTTGACTAAGTCTTGCCTAGATTCAAGTCATCCTCGATTTCCAAGCTACCGACCATGCTAGCTAGGAAATTCATTTCTCTATCGCAGATATTTCACATCGTCACCTACGAAGTTTATACTACAAACTTTATTAAAATTCTGTATATGTTCTATAGCAGTTTCGCTTAATAAAAATTCGTTTACAACCCTAAGTGACATAACGCGACATTGAATGTAACTTTCGCTTTCACGCTTCGATGAATGTTTCGGTCACAGTAATTTGATTTACACACTATATTACATACACTATCACATAAACATGATGCCCATGCAATTGCTTTAACAAAAGATTTACGATGGTAACACCGATGGTAATTACCGGCTATTTGGCATACATCGCCAGTAGCTACATTTCGCCGTCGTTGTCTCCTTCACGCACGCAGAATGGGAGGAAAGAGAGAGCCGCCGTGGCATGGTCAAACCGCCCACGTTGGACAAAATAGCCCCCGCCTCGTCCCGTGTACTAAAAAGTAAATGATTTCGACGGCTTAGGATACTAGTATTAGACGGTTTTATAGTTGATAATCAAAGTTAGACGAACCCAATAATTAAGGGGCCAAAAATACACTTAATCCTTTATTTTTTTAACGTGAGATCACTTGTGCAATGAACAACTAAAAATTCGAAGCACACGCGACCCACATTGTTCTCGAATTTAGGCCATACATCTGTACCACTTTAAGCCCTCGGTTTGCTGCCAGCAGTTTTCGTTTAGTTCATAGAAGATCGTCCAAGAAAGATGGGAAGCAAACATTGTTCATTTAGAGGGTGTTTGGTTTTTTGAAATATTTCCTAAAATTTATGTCACATCGAATGTTTAGATGTTAATAAGGAAGCGTTAAATATAGATTAATTATAAAACTAATTACATAAATGGAGGCTAATTTCGAGACGCGATTTTTTAAGCCTAATTAATCATCATTAGCACATGTTTACTGTAGCACCACCGTTGTCAAATCATGGACTCATTAGGCTTAAAAAGATTCGTCTCGTAAATTAGTCGCAAGTTGTGCAATTAGTTTCGTAATTAGTCTATATTTAATACTCCATGCATGTGTCCAAATATTCGATGTGACAGGAATTTTAGGAGGTGGTGAAGGAACCAAACAGACCCTTAATTACCATGAGCATTAGCATGACAAAAATGAGATAGAACATAACTTGAAGATAAACGTGTTGCTATATTTTCTACAATTAAAAAGAATAAAAGTAAGACTATTTTTTCGTTTTTTTTTTCGCTACTCCTTCCTGTCCGTGCGATACCACGTCCCCGCCGCCCGCTCCCTCCCCTCCCCTCAAATCACGCTCCATCCCGTCCCTCCCTTCCCCATCGTGCGAAACAAATCCCGACGCCTCCGCCGCTTCCCCTCGGCTTCCTCTGCCACGCGCCCTCCTTGCGCGAAGCGCCGCACCGAGCAGGACAGCCGGCCACCGCATCGGCGCGAGCGGGCGGCCTGGACCAGGCGCGGCGGACGATGTGGCTGAGGCGGAGAAGGTCGGAGACGCCCCCACCACACACGCCGTGCTCCCGCCCCATAGCGACTCCGCCCCCAACGCCGGGAGCCCGCGACTTCGCCAGGCCACCGTAACTAGGCCCATCGCACGCAACCGACGCGGCGCCCTACCCCGGCTCACCCCGCAACGGCGCCGCAGCAGGGCAACCTCGGCGGTAGCGCACCCGACAGCGCAGTCGACGCGGAGGTCAACCTCGCATCTGGAGCGGAACCGACGCGCTGCCCTGGTCCCGCTCACCCTGCGTCGGTGCCTCGGCCGCGCTGCCGCCGCCCCGCTCCTCCCCGTCCTGCGTTGCTGGGTGATCTCGACGGTGGCGCACCGGGCGGCATAGTCGACGCGGAGGTCGACCTCTGAGCGCGGGCGGTCAAGACGGCCGTAGACGTGGGGCTGGTAGCTGCCGCATCGTCATGCCCATGGGTCACCAGGTGCAGCATCTACGATCCTTTACTTTGAGTTTCCAATCGATTTTTTTCTTTCTCAATTTGCTGCTACTGTTCTGTTAGACATTGAATGATTTTCATTCACATGCACCCCCGGCAGTTTGATTCATCTTCGCCGCTTCATACCACACCCCTCGCCCTGCCGTCGCCTCGTCACTGTGCGGTGCCTTCGTTCGCTTGTTGGTTGCGGGTTTGATATATTTTGTGTGTGCAGATGAGCGCGGACGCGGCGCGCCGCGATGGAGAAGATCCGCTCCGCGGGGCTGCTCAGGACGCAGGGGCTCATCGCTGGGAAGTGGGTGGACGCTTACGACGGGAAGACCATCACGGTGCGCGTCACTTTCCCGGATTAATCCCGCTTCGCAGGCATGTGCTCTTCCTATTCCGTTGGAAATCACCTGGAGCAGCGTGAGTCCTCTGTTCTTGTGCTCGTCTTCTTTGCAAAGAACTAGGAAAAGATCAATCTTTTTTTTCTCTGGCTCGGGTTTCTTGGCCACTGAACTGCGGAAATTTCTTTCTTGCAGTGGAGGAGCCGCTCAAGACTACATTCCAGGTGTCGATCTGCTCCACTCGCTGTTCGTCTGTTCCTGATGGATCTCTGCCATTTTGTGACTGATTTGGTTCTGGTTGCTTTCTGAACGAAAACCCCTGCAGATTTTGCGCGTGTTTCGAAATCGAGTTTTGCTTTAGTTCTCGCATTTTTGCGGATTTAGGTGCTCCCAAGCGCTTCCTCATTAAAAAAAACTCTGAAGAACTGCGAGTTAGTCTGTTGTCCTGTTAGCTGCGTAGGGCTTAGATCTTTGAATTTGATTATGTCCAGAGCTCAATTTCGCTGACCTTTTACTGTCGATCCTGTTGGAATTTCCATCAAATTGAAAATTTTGCGTGCTTTAATTTCTCTTATTTCCTGCTCCTGCTACTTCTTTTCTGTTATTTGGTCCGGTGTACACCAAATTTGGGTCTTCGACTCATTTTGATTCTTTTCATGAGGGAAGCTCATTTTATGGCTTGAGCTCAAGAATGCTTTTTGTCGGTGCTCATTTATTTCGAGTTTTCGGCAGAGATAGAATTTTGGTCTTTTCCCCACTCGACTTTCTTGTGGATTGAAGTGATTTTGAGTTCTCAACTTGGTGCTTTACAGAGCATCTTTTTGTTGCCGTAAAGCTTAAACTTGTTCTGTGTTAGAGTGTTTTTGCAACAATCAATTTGGTGCTTTCTAGAAACACCTTTACGATTTCGAAAATGAACTTTTCCTCTTGTTTGGGTTGCATACGGAGATATTTGTTTCGATATGTCATGAGGTATATAAATGAAAGTAGTACCTCTGGTTGGGTCCTGACTACAATTTTTTGGTACAAGTTGTGGTGTTGGTGCCGTTTACTGTCCCCAGTGCTCCATTTGGAGCCCAAATACTCCTTTTTCTTCTTGTTCGACTAAGAACTAATTTCGGTCTTGGCTGCAAGCTAGAGGCCGCCTAGACTTCCTACTTTCTAAGCATGTGTTAGCATGCTAGAAATATTTTAGGGTCAGGTACTCCCAAGATTATATAAAGTATTGATTAGGTGTGTTGCATGCTGAATTAGTCCTTTAACCCATGGGAGGACTCTGTCCAAGCTTGTAGTTGGATGGTGCACACACTGTGTGGATCTCACCTAGCACGAATCCTTTTGCGTGATCTACAATCTACATTCACGTTGAGAGGTTTCCCTTGGGAAGAACTGATGAGATATCTAATTGTTTGATGCAGCTAATGGATTGCTTAAACTGGAGAGTACAGAATGAGATTGACAGCGTGTTAGCTGTAAGTAGCTTTTTTAGTGTACAAAGTCTTTTTTTTCTTTTGAAAAAGAAAAGTAGATTGGATTGCCAGAATGCCAACAAATGACTTGGGATATGTTTTGTAGTGATTGCATATCTTCACTTTTCCCTGCATATTCTTTACATTGGTAGCAGGGTTTTTTTTTAAATATTGTTTCATTTGCATCATGAACTAAATGCTAATACCAATATATGCGGCCCTTTTTTATGATTTAACTCATGGTATTCTTCTGACTAGCATTACAATTTGTTTTTGATACAGAAACCCATTCTGCCATCTGATTTATATAGAGCCATTCGAGACACGCTACTTGTTGGATTGACAGGGTACTCCAAGCAGGTACAGTAATCAGACTCATATTTCTCATGTTAGCAATGTTAACAATGTTATTGATATGATATATGCTTTTACTAATCTCTTTTTCTCCATCCATTGGAATATTCTATTTTCGCCCTGACATGATTGCAAAAGTGATCTATTCATTTCTCAGCAGTTTGCTACTTTGTTTCCTCTGTAGTGAGAAGGATTTTTTATTATATGCTTTAATTTGTGCTCCCCTCCTTTTTTTGTAGGGACAACCTGTTTATGCATTTGGTGTAGGTCTTAGTACTTTTGACAAGGCCTCGGTAGCAAAACTGTCCTTGGAAAAAGAATTAAAGCTGTTGATTTAATTTGAAAGAATAGCAAGACATTCAATATCATATCTGAGTCAGTTTCATATATATCTTGATTTTGTTTGCAGTATGTCTGTCAATGAAGAAAACCTTTATTTTGACTAAGTTTACTATGTAATAAAGGATAAGCTGAATAAAGGATACACAACTTTGTCTCGATTTGTAGGATCAATATCAATTTTACTCATTTTATGGATATGGCAGACTATTTTTCATAGAAATAAGAGCTCTCTAAATTATCTCACCCAATTTTTCTTAGGTGAACTATTATGTGCAGTCACACATACAAATGAATGAATATCGAGATCGTGTTGTCCTGGTAAGTGCTTTCTTATGAGGGTTTTCAACCGTGGTCATATGGTCCTTCTTAATTATAATGCCATGGGGGTGGTTCTTTCCCCACCAGTCGAGTTTTTTATTGATGATTAATGGTACCAAATTAGGGAAAAGAGATTAAATATATTCTGTGTTCTTTATAGCTAATGAAAAGGTCCTAATGGCTAGAGTGGGGGGGTAAATAGCCTAATAAAAATTTCTACAACAATACTTAGCAAACCGGTTAGACAATTATAAATCGAAGCAAGTGTTGCGCTAGCCTACCAAGAATGCAAACCACATACCACAATTCTAGTTGATATAGTTTCTATCCATACAATAGCTATGTCACTACACTAAGTTAGTGTGCTCTCAAAGGCTAACTAAAGAGCCACACTAACCAAACTAACAAGCTCTCACAACTAGCTACACTAAAGAGCTTAACAACTAGTTTGCGTGAATGTAAAGAGAGTGAGCAAGATAGTTATACCATCGTGTCGAGGAGTGAACCAATCAATCACAAGAATCAATATCAATGAAGACCAATCACCTCGGAATCAAATGATGAACACAATGATTTTTATTGAGGTTCACTTGCTTGCCGACAAGCTACTCCTCGTTGTGGCGATTCACTCACTTGGTGATTCACGCTACACTGGCATCACACGTCAAACCCTCAATAGGGTGCCGCACAACCAACACAAGATGAGAATCACATAAGCCACGAGCAATTCACTAGAGTACCTTTTGGCTCTCCGTCGGGGAAAGGTCAAGAACCTCTCACAATCACCATGATCGAGCCGGAGACAATCATCAACCTCCGCTCAACGATCCTCGCTGCTCCAAGCTGCCTAGGTGGCGGTAACCACCAAGAGTAACAAGCGAATCCTTGAAATGAACATTTAACACCAAGTGCATCTAGATGCAAACACTCAAGCAATGCACTTGGATTCTCTCCCAATCTCACAAAGTTGAATCAATGATAGAGATGAGTGGGAGGGCTTTGGCTAAGCTCACAAGGTTGCTATGTCAATGCAAATGGCCAAGAGAGTGAGCTTGAGCCGGCCATGTGGCTTAAATAGAAGCTCCCACGAAATAGAGCCGTTGTATCCCTTCACCGGGCATTAACGCTGGGTGACCGGACGCTCGGTCATATTGATCGAACGGCTGGACCTTAAGCGTCCGGTCACGCGATGCGTGCCACGTGTCCCTCTCTTCAAATGTCGATCGCGGATCTCAACGATCAAGTGATGATCGGACGAAAAGAGCTCAAAGTGACCGGACGCTAAACCCCAGTCATTCCCGGTTGCTTTCAAAGAAGCATCCAGAGGCGACTTTTCATGACTCGATAGGATATACCCGGTGTCCGGGTCATGTTCTTCATGGCATTTGAACGTTGAATGCCTCTAACATCTTCCAAGTTCTCATTCTCTACTTGTGAACCCTTGGTTTCATCAAATTCAACATCATGAACTTACTCAAGAGTTTCACTATCCAAATTTCAAACTCTATATGCTTTGCTTGTAGTGGAGTATCCAAGTAGAAATCCTTCATCACATTTCTTGTCAAACTTGCCCAATCTAGTGTCTTTCTTTAATATATAGTATTTGCAACCAAAGACCAAAAAATATGCAATGTTGGGCTTTCTACCATTCAAGAGCTCATATGGTGTCTTCTCTTTCAATGGGTGACAATAGAGGCGGTTGCTACAATAGCAAGTCGTGTTGATGGCTTTGGCCTAAAAAGATTGACTCACATTGTACTCACTAAGCATAGACCTTGCCATATCAATGAGTATTCAATTTTTCTCTCAACAAGGCCATTTGATTGTGGAGTGTACTTGGTCAAGAATTGATGTCTAATTCTAAATTCATCACACAACTCATCAATTATAGTGTTCTTGAACTCACTACTATTGTCACTTCTAACTCTCTTGATGGTTGTTTCAAACTCATTATGAATGCCCTTGACAAATGATTTTAATGTTGTAAACACATCATTTTTGTCCACTAGAAAGAATACTCAAGTGTATCTAGTGTAATCATCCATTATCAGTCATATTTATTTTCACCAATGCTAGTGTATTGTGTTGGACCAAATAAATCCATGTGCAATAACTCAAATGCTTTACTAGTGCTCATCATGCTTTTCTTAAGATGGGTGTTTTCAACTTGTTTGCTGGCTTGACAAGAGCTACAAAGCTTATCCTTCTCAAACACTACATCTTTCAAGCCTCTAACCAAGTCATGCTTAACCAATCTATTCAATTGTTTCATTTCAACATGACCAAGCCTTCTATGCCATAACCAACCCATGCTAGACTTAGTGAACAAGTATGTAGATAATCTAGCTTCACTAGCATTGAAATCAACCAAGTATAGATTATCATATCTAAAGCTTTTGAAGATCAAGTTAGAGCCATCTACACTTACGATCTCTACATCATCTACCCCAAATATGCATTTGAATCCAAGATCACATAATTGAGCCACGTATAGCAAATTAAAGTTCAAGCTCTCTACTAGCAACACATTGGATATGCTCATGTCATTGGATATTGCAATCTTACCAAGCCCTTCGACCTTGCCTTTGCCATTATCACCAAATGTGATACTATCATAACCATCATTGCCATTGATGTTGATTGAGTTGAACATGCTTGCATCACCGGTCATGTGTTGAGTGCACCCACTATCAAGAACCCAATGTCTTTCTCCGGCTTTGTAATTGACCTAAAAAAAGATCAATTTTTTTTAGGTACCCAAACTTGCTTGAGTCCTTAAAGGTTAGTCACTAAGCTCTTTGGTACCCAAATGACTTTTTTCTTTGAGCCCATCCATGGTTTACCAATGAACTTAGCCTTCACACCATTTGTACCATTATTAAGCATATAGAAAGAATCAATCTTAATTGAGGATACATTAGCAATTTTGCTCTTGTTCTTGCACTCATGCTCTTTATGACCAACTTGCTTGCAACTAGTGCAAAACCGACCATTGTTCTTCACAAAACTAGTCTTGTGAGGAGCAAAGGTCGCCTTGCCTTTCTTGGGGGTATAGCCCAATCTCTCTTTGTAGAGAGAAGCTCTTTAGCTACCCAAGCACATAAGCAAGCGGTCCTCACCACCATAAGCCTTAGCCAAGGTGTGAGTGAGCTTATTGACCTCCTTCTTGAGGTTCTCATTTTCAGCTATTAGCGAGGCATCACAAGTGAAACCATCACTGCTAAATGAGGTGGAAGTAGAAGTACTATAAGAAGGGTTAGTGGGAGCAACAATGATAGGCATAAATAATGATTCATCAATTATATCACAAGTTAAGCCTATATTGCAAGTTTCAACATGCTTCTTTTTATTTTGCTTATTAAGCAAAGAGGAATGAGCCTTTTCAAGCTTTTTGTGAGCCTTGCCAAGCTTCTCATGGGCTTCCTCTAGCCTCTCATAAGTTGCTTTGAGCTTTAGCAAGGGCTTGCTTAAGGGCTTTTACCTCCTAATTCAAGTTCTTGCATTCCCTTCTCTTAATGTCAAAGTGTTCTTTAGCATCTTCTAGCATGTCATATAATTTATCTTTAGTAGGTTCATCATCACTATCACTATCATTTTCATTATCATATTCATCATCACTTCCATCATCACAAGTTTGTACCTTAGTGCCCTTAGCCATGAAGCATGATGGAGTGTCGAAGAGAGAAGCCTTCTCATTGATAGCAATGCTTGCAAGTGCCTTCTTCTTGGTGGTCTTGTCATCATCACTATCATCATTATCACTTGAGGAAGCATCACTATCTCAAGTGACCACATATGAACCACCCTTCTTCTTCTTGAAGGTCATCTTGTCTTTCTTCTCTTTTTTTTTCTTTTTGTCCTTTTGTTTTTCTTGTTGTCATCATCATTGTCGCTATTGTATGGACATTGAGCAATAAGACGATCTTTGCTTCCACATTTGAAGCGCCTTCTTGACTCTTCCTTATTCTTGGATGAAGATTGCTTTCTTCTAGCACGGTACCCTTTCTTCATCATGAATTTGCCAAATTTCTTGACAAAGAGAGCCATCTTCTCATCATCATCATCATCCCATGAACCATCATCTTCACTTGATATTTTTTGCTTTACCTTGCCCTTGGATGATGTGGCCTTGAATGCCACTCTTCTTCTCATCTTTCTTCTCCTTTTCTTTCTTCTCATCATCTCTATATGTATCATCACTCATTATATCTTCCAACATTTGATTTGGTTTCATGGTGTCCAAACCATTCCTCACTAGAATAGTGATCAATGTGCCAAATCTTGAAGGTAAGCATCTCAAGAACTTATGGGAGAAGTTCTTGTCCTTCACCTCTTCTCTAAGTGCTTTGAGATAATTGACAAGCACTTTAAGCCTATGAAACATCTCCGGCACACTCATCTTCCTTCAACTTGAAGCTTGCAAACTTTTCTTTGAGAATGTATGCCTTTGCACCCTTCACGGCTTGAGTGCCCTCAAATGATTCTTCCAACATCTTCCAAGCCTCATGAGCCATATCAATATTCTTGATTTGCTCAAATGTTCTCTCATCAATTGCATCATGAATGACACTTAAAGCAATGTCATTGTTTTGGAGAAGCACTTCTTCTACCACTTGGGATTCTCCTTGATCACCAATCACAATTTTGGTTTCTACCACCTTCCACACTTTTCTCTTGA